ATAAAGGGGAAGGAGGATGGAGATTACAAGCCATCAGATCACAATTTCTCAACCTCAGCAACTTTTAAGATGGATAGATTTCAACTCCTGGAATTCCTTAGCCAGCTCGACTTGTTCAGTTAATGCAGGGGTAGGCAACCTTAGCTCTTTTATGACTCATGGACTTCAACTCCCAGAATTCCTGAGCCAGCATGGCTCAGCTTGGAAACCTCTCCCTTTCCCCTCAGCATGGCTGGCTCAGGAATTCTGGGAGTTGAAGTCCACGAGTCATAAAAGAGCCCAAGTTGCCTACCCCTGAGTTAATGTTACCATTTGACTATCTTTATGTTTGTCTCCATTCATTAGTTTTTTTTTTAATTTCTTTTCTTGGGGTAGTACAGGTATAAACAGTTTTAGTAACTCATCATCATCTCTTAAAATAGAAATAATAATAATAATGATTAATAATAATAATAATAATAATAATAATAATAATAATAATGGTAAGGACTCGATAGGTAGACAAAATGCCAAATCCAGTCTAAACATCTGGCTGACTGTGCGATGATCCATAATAATAATAGTAGTAATAATAATAATAATAATAATAATAATAATAATAATAATAATAATAATAATAATAATAATAATAATAAAAAAGTTGGAAGGGACCTTGGAGGTCATCTGGTCCAACCCCCTGCTCAGGCAGGAACCCCTATACCATTTCAGACAAATGGCCGTCCAGTCTCTTCTTAAAAACTTCCAGTGTTGGAGCATTCACCACTTCTTGAGGCAGGTTGTTCCACTGGTTAATTGTTCTAACTGTCAGGAAGTTTCTCCTTAGTTCTAGGTTGCTTCTCTCCTTGGTCAGTTTCCATCCATTGTTTCTTGTCTTGCCCTCAGGCCTAGGGTTGCCAGGTCTGCTTCCAAAAAATAGTGGACAAGCGGGGGGGGGGGTGTTAAGTAGTAAAAAAAGTAGACTGTACAGCTTTAGATTACGTACCATTTCATCATAAAGCTTTTGAATAAAAAAAAATGTCCACTATTTTGTGAAAAAAAAAATAGTGAACATAATGTGAAAAAAGCGGACTGTCCACTCAAATAGTGGACACCTGGCAACCCTACTCAGGCCCTTTGGAGAATAGCTTGACTCCCTCTTCTTTGTGGCAGCCCCTGAGATACTGGAACACTGCTATCATGTCCCCCCTCGTCCTTCTCTTCGTTAAACTAGACATACCCAATTCCAGCAGCCCTTCCTTATATGCTTTAGCCTCCAGTCCCCTAATCATCTTTGTTGCTCTTCTCTGTACTCTTTCTAGAGTCTCAACATGTTGTCTTCTTCCCATGTCTCATCTCATCTATTAAAAAAAAAAAATCTTTAAAGCCTCATTTTTCAGTCTTGGTCAGCAAAAACCCACTAAGGGTTACCGGAAATAACAACGTATCTGTTTTAACCTTGATTAAATAAAACATTTTTATATTCCTTCCTTTTAACGATCTTGAACGTTTTATTTCCCTTCCCTTTACTTTTAATAATCTTGACACTTAACTCTCCTGATAATAATGTCCTAGAGCTTGATTTTTTTTCCCTCATTTCTGTTTGTCTTTCCTCACAAAAGTTTTCCAAACTTAAGTCTCTTATCCAATATAAGAAAGTTATCCAGGTCAAATGCTTTTGGTTTGCTTACACATCAGCCAGTTTTATTTGTGTATCCAGTGTAACATTTTTTTTTCACATCATTCCTGCAGCCTCTTATTTTAAAGTCCACTTTCAGATCAGTCTTAATCTTTTCAGGTAAAGCCTCTTCCTCTTCCATGATCTCTTTTAAATACAGTCTGTCTATAGAAGCAGACCCTTAAAATTAATTTCTCAAGAAACGTGAGCCCGTTGTTCACAAATATTCTTCACTATGTCCAGTATTAAAGTATTATTCCATTCTGTATTAGCAAGTCAAATTTTAAGTGTTTTTCTTCTTTAATTGTACTATTTAGTTTTGGTTCCCTCTAGTGTCCGATTTTTAAAATGCCATTTTGTCATTCTTTTTTTAAAAAAGTATTCAAAACAACAGCCTTTTCCCACGAGAAGGATTCTTATAAGTGGTTTCAGAATCTTATTTCAAATCCATCTGGATCCTTAGTCGATTTGTAACTTTCCAAACTCAAAGTTCTAATCACCCTATTGCCGTTTATTCCAAAAAGAAAAAAGAAAAAGGAATTAAGTCATATTTGTATTTAAAACTTCTTTCACTAAGCCACATAGCCCAACATACCCCCCAAAAAAAACCACTGCAAAAAAACAAACTAGAAACAAAAATTAAAATAAGGAAGAAAATGGTAAGAGAACATCTATCCGACCTTGACGAATATGAATCACCGGGACCCGACAGATTACATCCCAGAGTTCTGAAGGAGCCTGGCAGATGTGATCTCAGAACCATTGCACCATATCTTTCAAAAATCCTGGAGCACGGGGGAAATACCGAGGATTGGAAAAGGGCTGATGTGGTTCCCATCTTCAAGAAAGGGGGGGGGGGGAAACAGACCCAGGAAACTACAGACCAATTAGTCTAACATCAATACCTGGGAAGATCCTGGAAAAGATGATCAAAAAACCAGATCTGCGAACAATCAGAAGCAAACAAAGTTAGAACTAGTAGCCAGAATGTGTTTGTCCCCAAAAAAACCAAACAAACCCTGCTTTAATCCCTCTGGTCTTACCATCTCCTCATGTAGTATAACTGTCTGGAGCGCGTGTGGGCGATCTCAAGCTCTCTTCTTGTCTGGAGAGGACAAGTACAAACAGTTGGTTCACTTCTTGGTTCTTTATTCTGCCACCCTCCTTCTCTCTGCTCTCCATTTCGTCCCCAGAAGTTGTTTCTGTCGTCCGTCGTCCGTCCTCCTCCACTTCCTCCTCCTCCTTCCCCCCCTCTCCGTCTCCAATTTCTAATTGAAGGTAGTTGTACATCAATCTATTTGTTCCCATAGGTACCAATGAATCTAATAAGGGCCACAGCAATTCTACGCAGGAATTGCTAGGAGAGCGCGCCACAGTTTTGCTGAGTGCTGTCAGCGATTCTGACCCTGTCTCAAGGCCACATCCGAATGGGCTGAAAACCTTAAAAGTGATGCTGAAGAAACTCCCAAGTCCTCAGAAAAGGGAATGCAAGGGCCCCGATTGTGACCGTAGCGTTCCCGGGCTTTCCAAAACCATTAAAGACAGGACAGACCACCCAGGAGAGAAGTCCTACGATTGCTCTGATTGTGGGAAAGCCTTCAGGAAGTCGTATCATCTGTATCGGCATCAGAACGGCATTGCATGCCATAAACCGAGGCCCATTTGCGATGCCCTTTTTGCAGAGGAGAGAATTGCCTGTAGAGGTAGGTGTGATGACCCAGCTGATAATTAATTAAAGCATTCTCCCTTCTCTTTCTCTCTGGTCTTTTATCATGGTGCCCTTTGTACTTCATCTGAGCAATTTGTTTTGCCATTACACACACACACACACACACACACACAGAGAGAGAGAGAGAGAGAGAGCGAGAGAGAGAGATGGGAGAGGGAGAGAAAGGAGAGACAGGAGAGGGAGAGGCAAGAGGAGAGAGAGAGGAGAAAGAGGAGAGGGAGAGACGGGGAGGGAGGGAGGGAGAGAGGCGAGGGGCAGAGAGGAGAAAGACGAGAGGGAGAGGAGACGGGAGAGAGGGAGGGAGAAAGACGAGAGGCAAAAGAGAGCAGAAAGGGAGAGAGGAGAAAGGGGAAGAGGCAGAGAGAGAGAGGATCTTTGCCAACATTCCTGTTTTCCTCTTTACGATTGAACGCTTAGCAGTAAAATGTTGATGAGGTGGCGAGAAAAATCCATCGGTCTTTATGTAGCAGTGTTGTTCATCTTGCACTTTATTTCTCTCGGCAATAAATTATAGATTATATCGGGGCGGCGTTGGTTTTCCGGGCTTTAGAAGATCAAGACCTTTGAAATGAAATGAATGTTTTTAACAGTAAATTAATGGCAGGTAGAGAAATGTATAATCACTTAAACAGGTTTTCCAAAAAAAAAAAACCCAAACATTTGATTTATATTGTCCTACTGAATTTTTTTTTGTTTTTTTAAAAATCTTTTCTTCCCAAAAAGCAGGCGAACGAAGGCCAAGTACCTTTTCCCTTCTTTTGATCCAAAGGTCATTTTATTTTATGTGGACTTTTGAAAGGCAAATGTATGTGTATCGTTAATAAATTAGAACAATTCCCAAGGACTTTCTACAAACTTTTAAAGATTCCAGTTAAATCATTTTTGCTCTGTCTTGCCTTGAGAGACAATTGGTTAAAAAAAAAAAGAAGAAGTGTTTTCAGGTTGATAACTTTCCCAGGTTTGTCTATGACAGGGGTAAGCCACCTTGGCTCTTTTATGACTCGTGGACTTCAACTCCCAGAATTCCTGAGCCAGCATGGGGGAACTATGGCCCCCTCATGACTTGTGGACTTCAACTCCCAGAATTCCTGAGCCAGCCTGGCTCAGCTTGGAAACTTCTCCCTTTCCCCTCAGCATGGCTGGCTCAGGAATTCTGGGAGTTGAAGTCCACGAGTGGCCTACCCCTGGTCTATGGAGACTCTCCGTCATCCAGGTCATGGTTGCCCCAAAGATGCTTTTTCACGCGGCAACTGGACTTCCTTGTTTTTCTTTGAGACATCTTGCTTCTCATCCACGACTCTTCTTCAGCTTCTTCTGAAGAGCTGAAGAAGCCTTCTTGGATGAGAGGCGAAAGGTCTTCAAAGAAAAACAAGGAAGTCCAGTTGCCTCGTGAAAAAAGCGCCTTTGGGATTCCCAGTTTTGTTAACGGCATTTACTTCACGGCGCTACTTTCACTCTGATTGGAACCAACAGAACGGCTGCTGGAATTGGGTAGGTCTAGTTTAACGAAGAGAAGGACGAGGGGGGACATGATAGCAGTCTTCCAATATCTCAGGGGCTGCCCCAAAGAAGAGGGAGTCAAGCTATTCTCCAAAGTGCCCGAAGGCAGGACAAGAAGCAACGGATGGAAACTAATCAAGGAGAGAAGCAACCTAGAACTAAGGAGAAACTTCCTGACAGTTAGAACAATTAATCAGTGGGACAACCTGCCTCCAGAAGCGGTGAATGCTCCAACACTGGAAGTTTTTAAGAAGAGACTGGACAGCCATTTGTCTGAAATGGTATTGGGTTTCCTGCCTGAGCAGGGGGTTGGACTAGATGACCTCCAAGATCCCTTCCAACTTTATTATTATTATTATTATTATTATTATTATTATTATTATTGATCATTGCACAGTCAGCCAGATGTTCAGACTGAATTTTGTCTTCCTATCGAGTCCTTACCCAGGACCTGGGATAGGCAGATGTGGATGTTTGATGTTATTACAGATATCGTCGCAGGATGGAAGCAGTTCCTAGTAAGGCCGCCTTTTGCAATTGACTAATGGATAATTATTATTATTATTATTATTATCATTATCATTATTATTAATCAAGCTGATCAGCCGTTATTAGCTGGTATTAGCTGGACTTGATGAGGTTTGCAGCTTTGCATATCTAAACTGTTGATTGTCCTTCCAGGGGAGGAAGAATCCAGAAGTGCGACTCTTCTGCAGGAAAACATCAAATTGGAAGACGAGGACGGAGCCTATCCAGCTTGCAACGATCAACCTTCTCTGAGGGGCTATCTGAAGACAGAACAAAGAGAGGACAACGCTGCTGGGAACGAGGCCTCCGAACATCCGGACACCAAAATGCATTCCTGCACAAAATGCGGATACCAAACGGAGAAATTGTCAGACATTCTTAAACATTTCAGAAGCCACAACAAGGAAAAACCTTACAAATGCCAGGACTGTGGGAAGTGCTTCAGGTGGTTCTCAACCCTCATAAAACATCAGCAGACCCACGTAGCCAGTCCGCAGCCGCCCGTTATTGCCGAATGCGATGTGACCCTTAGCGGTAGGTAGAAACTAGATGTTAAACGTAACACATTATGAGCCTGCTTTTTCTTTTTTTCTTTCCCTACAAACGAGGCATTCCATGTGGTAACGGGAGACCTCTTGATCCCCCTTTTCCCGCCTTTTTTCCCCCTTCATCTTGTGAGGTAAACTGCGAATCGGGTTTATGATGTGTTACCGCATCATTTCGGGGAAGCTCTTGCGGTTTGTGGTAAACGTGAAACGCCTCTCAGCTGACTTGAGCCAGAACAGACATGTCGAACACAAGGCCCGGGGACCGGATGCGGCTCGCGAAGTGGTTTCACATGGCCCGCGAAGCCATCCTGGAAACAGTGAGGGAACGGTCCCCGCTGCCTTGGCCCTGGCCCAGGTCGGCCGGGAGCCAATGTACAATGTTGTGGCCATCTATGCTGAAACGCATTCAGTCTTAGCTCCACAAGGCCGTCTGGAAACAGCGAGGAACCAGCCCCTGCCGCGTCAGCCACTGGGTGCATGCCTCCCCAGCTGCGTTTCTTGCCTGTTTTTCTCCCTCCCTCATCTCAAATATTTTCCCACCACTCTGTACTTAGGAAAGAAGGAAGGAAAGAAGGAGAGGGAGGGTCTGAGGGAAGTCCTACCTTAGTCCTGCCCTGCTGCCCTTTCACCATCTCCTTGCCCCCTCCTCCTGGCCTATCCTGGGTGTCTCCCATCCTATTGCTAAGGAAGCTTAGGATACAAAGCCGGGTCTCCTCCCATGGAGAGGGAATGGGCCTCCCTCTGACTTAGCCCTCGTACCCATCATGAGCAACCTGGGTAAGGAGAGCAAGCACAGCAGCAGCAGCCTTGAGGAGGAGGTAAGTGCAGCTGGGTGCCTCCGTGGGGAAGTGGGGCAGGATTTGGCGCCGCAGGTGCTCGAGGGCCAGGCTGGGTGTTTGACCTCTGCTGCCCAGGGCTCTGGGCAGCCCACACCACTATCCAGGCCCCCCACCGCCACATGGCCTGAGAGGAACGGTGAGGCTCCTCCAGTGGACCATGCCTTGGCACTTGTCCTGATCCCACCCCCTTCTGCCAGAGACCCTCAGATCTGTCCCACTCCTGCCCAGGCCCCCACAGGCACCCTTGACATGACCGATGTAGAGCTGGCCACGCCCACCCAGTAGGCCACACCCACTCAATCCACACCCACCCAGTAGGCCACACCCACCCGGCCCCCTGAGGGCAACCGCAATGCTGATGCGGCCCTCAATGAAGTTGAGCCAGAAAGTAGGAAAATGAAGAATCTCTAGGCAACCTGTAGATCGGTTAACAATAACTTGCTGGTGTGTACATCCCAAATTCGGTCCATGGTACAGCTAGTCCTCGCCTTTACAGCCATTTGTTTAGTGGCCGTTCGAAGTTACAGCGGCTCTGAAAAATGTGACTTACGACTGTTGTTCACATTTTTCGACCGTTGCAGCATTCCCCCCCCCGTCACGTGATCAAAATTCAGACGCTTGGCAACCGACTCGTCATCATGACGGTTGCAGTGTCCCGGGATCACATGGTCACCTTTTGTAACCTACTGACCAGCAAAAGTCATCAGCAGAAGCCGGATTCACATAACGGTCATGTTTGCTAAATTAACAACTGCAGTGATTTGCTTAACAACTGAGACGATAAAGGTCGTAAAAGGGGGGGAAAACTCATTTAACAACTGCCTCACTTAGCAACGGCAATTTTGGGCTCCGTTGTGATCATAAGTCGAGGACTCCCTGTACTTTGAATTAAAAGAAGTCCATAAACGGCGAGATCTTGGAATATTAATGCCAGTCTTAAAAAAAAAACTTGGCTGGAGTTTGGTTTGACCTCCTCTGGTCTTTGAAGTCAGTAGAGCTTACTGGTTCCACGTGGGAATGCAAAAATCATTGGGAGTTTGATTTATTAATTTATTAATCAAATGTAAACATCTCCTGGGCAGATTGCAACAATCAGCTAAAACAATATATAAATATTCATGATAGGATAGGGTAGAATTAGAATAGGATAGAATTAGAATTAGAATTAAATAGAATAGAACAATAGAATAGAATAGAATCGGAATAGAACAGAATCAGAATAGAATAGAACAGAACAGAACAGAATCGGAATAGAATGGAATGGAATGGAACGGAACGGAACGGAATAGAACAGAATCGGAATAGAATAGAATAGAATTGGAATAGAATAGAACAGAATAGAATAGAATAAGAATAAGAGCAGAACAGAATAAGAACAGAACAGAATCGGAACAGAATAAGAACAGAACAGAATCGGAATAGAATAGAATTGGAATAGAATAGAACAGAATAGAATAAGAATAAGAGCAGAACAGAATAAGAACAGAACAGAATCGGAATAGAATAGAATTGGAATAGAATAGAACAGAATAGAATAAGAATAAGAACAGAATAAGAACAGAACAGAATCGGAATAGAATAGAACAGAATCGGAATAGAACAGAACAATAGAATCAGAACAGAATAGAATCAGAACAGAATTGGAACAGAACAGAACAGAATAGAATAGAATAGAATTCTTTATTGGCCAGGCGTGATCGGACACACAAGGAATTTGTCTCCGGTGTATAAGCTCACAGTGTACATTAAATATTGTTAAGAATAAAATGACTGATGGGCTATATACTGTAAAAGTCCCATTCTTCTTCAATGATTCTACTGTTTCCCATGATAATGAAGGGATAACACCATGGTGGGTCTCTCTCCCCTTCTATCGTAAGAAGACCCAGTTTGTCATAGCGGTTAAGGTGCTGGTCTAGATACCAGTTCCAGTCCCACTTTAGGCATGAAAGCCGTCTGGGTGATTTTGGGCCAGTCACGAGTTTTAAAAAAAACAAAACAGAATTTTTTAAAAATAAAGCATGTATATGGAAATTCACCATTAGACTCTGTCTCAGAGCCTTTTAATGCAGTTACTATCCAGCAAAACTTCACCACATTCTTGGGAATTTCGGAAGAAAAGCCAGCAACTTTAATTTGGGATTCAGTCCGCACAGTGAATAAGGAGAAAGGTTTTGAGTTTGAGGGTGGTAGAGTAAAATGCAAGTTCTGGATCTGACCGCAGAGTAAGAAAATATTATTTTGACTGCGGACACAAACTTGAAAATCCCTAGCTGCTGCTTAACGAATTATCAAATCCGAAGTAGGAACGGGGCTCATTTTGCCGCCGCCCCCATTTTCCATGATCTGAATAATTTCTGTTTCCCCCCCCACAGATGATGAGGAGCTGATTAACATCTTAGCGAAGAAGACTCCCCGTCAAGAAGCAGGCGTGCAGAACTCTCTAGAGAGGCCATCCAAACGCTCCCCGGGTGCCGTTTGTCCGGTCTCCAAGTCTTCCAGGGTGGAGGCCTCGCCTGCAATTCGCTCCAGGGAGCAGAACGGAAAAGGCAAAGCCGCTCGTCGCCAAAAGAAGACGACGAAAACCCGATACGAAGGTCTCGAGAAGAAACACGAGTGCCTCGATTGTGGGCATCGCAACTATTTCCTGTCCGATCTCGTGCGGCACAAGAGGGCTCACCCGAACGATACGCCCTACAGGTGCCCCGAGTGTCAGAAGCTCTTCGTCCAGCCCTCCTTCCTCAAACTTCATCTGAAAACGCACAAGATGGAGGGGAAGTCCGTGAACACGAAAAAAGCCCCCCAGGGAGAGAGGAAGTATACCTGCTCAAAATGCGGACACAAAACGTACAAGTTGTCCACTCACCTCTTGCACATGAAAGCCCACATGAGCGAAAAGGAGAGAGCTTACGTATGCGACGAGTGCGGCAAAAGTTTCAAGTGGAGCTCCAATCTTTCCCGGCACAAGCGGATCCACGAGCTCAACGAAGGCTTTAAGATCAGGAGACCCTCCTTCACCGGGCATTACGAGATAAACAGAGGTGGGCACCCCGCATTTTGGCCCTTTGTTCATTTACGCGCAAGCCGTAGTTTTCTCCTGAGTTATAAGCAGGTGGGCAGAATAGCTTTTAAAAAAAAGGGATGTGCAAGGGAATACAGGTAGTCGTGGACTTACGGCAGTCCATTTAGTCACCACTCAAAGTTACAACGGCACTGAAAAGAAATGATTGGGGCAAAATGTCCTAAAACAGTGATGGCGAACCTTTTAGAGACCGAGTGCCCCAAAACCGCCCCGCCCCGCTCTGCCCCACCCCCACCCACCCGCAGGGCCACCCACCGCCTCCACGGCCTGCCGCAGGAGATCGCCCAGGCGGCCCTGCAACGTCATGGCCACGCCCTCTGCCCGCACCCCGCAGCATCTGCGCGTGACGGGGCGCGAGGGCGGAGTCTTGTCCCTGCTTCCCGGCTGCCATGTTCTTGGCTGCACTGCTCCATGCAGGCCGCGCCCGGGGGTGACTCTCCTCCGGGGGAGTTGCTGGTGAGGAGGGGGCCACGGGGGGAGGCGGGGCTGGAGCGACGGCCCGTGTGCCCACAGAGAGGGCTCTGAGTGCCGTCTCTGGCCCGCGTGCCGTAGGTTCACCACCACTGCCCTAAAACATGGTCACGTGATTGTGGAATGCTGCAAATGGCCTGGTTGCCGAGTGCCCACAATGTGGTCATGTGACAGGAAGTGGCCATTGGGTCATAAATAATCCCAGGGAGGTCTGCTGTAACTTTGAGAGAGCGGTCGTAAGTTGAGGACTACCTGTACACTCCTGAACAAAAGGTGGGATATGAATCTAACAAATTTATAGAGCAGAAGTGTTTTTGACACATGTCCTTTACAAAAATCTTCAGTTATGGGAAGTTGCCATTTACAACTCGAAGTAGTCCTCGACTTACAACAGTGACCGTTCAATGTTACAACGGTACTGAAAAATGTGACTTACGACCGTTTTTCACACGACCATTGCAGCATTCCCGTGGTCGCGTGATCAGAATTCAGAAACTTGGCAAGTGACTCATATTTATGACGGTCGCAGTGTCCCTGGGGGGGTCATGTGATCCCCTTTTGCGACCTTCTGACAAGCAAAGTCAAAGGGGAATCCAGATTCACTTAACAATCATGTGACTAACTTAACAAGTGCAATGATTCACTTAGGAACCGGGACAAGAAAAGTCATAAAATAGGGCAAAATTCACTTAACAACAGAAATTTTGGGCTCAGTTGTAGCCGTAAGTCAAGGACTACCTGTAGTTTTCTTTAAAAAACAACAACACCAACTCCCTAAAATAAACAGGCACATTGTTTTAAATTGAAAATCCAGATTTAAAATTATACTAACGGCTGTACCCAAATTATTTGTAAGGGATCACTTGGCTGCTGTAAAAGTTGGATTAATAAATAATAGATATTTAGAACAGGCATTTGACTTGACTTACTTTGTTTTTGTGAAAATACGATGATTGATTGTGGCAAAAGGTGTAAAATTGGGTGTGATTCACTTAGCCAATTCTGGCCCAAATTGTAGTCGTAAGTCAAGGACTCCCAGTATATGCCCTCAAGTCACTTAGCAACCAGATAGATAGATATTCTCCATGAAATACAGCTGGTGGAGATGAATAGATATAGAATCCCATACGGCTAATGTACTTTAATAAGCTTCGTATTGAACGCCATAGTATAATTTTTGAAAGTTTAATAGAACAGAAATTTAAAACATTTTGGGAAATGTTATGCTTTTTTGGTCTGTATTTCAATGGTGCAGTGGTTAGAATGCAGTATCGCAAGCTAACTCTGCCGACTGTTAGCAGTTCGATCCTGACCGGCTGAAGGTTGACCCATCCTTCCGGAAGTCGGTAAAATAAGAACCCTGATTCTTAGGGAGCCATGTGCTGACTCTGTAAACTGCTTAGACAAGACCGTAAAGCACTATGAAGCAGTAGTAAGTCTTAAGTGCTATTGCTATTAATATAAATTCCATTAGGTCAGGGGTAGGCCACCTTGGCTCTTTTATGACTCATGGACTTCAACTCCCAGAATTCCTCAGCCAGCCATGCTGAGGAGAAAGAGAAAGGTTTCCATGCTTAGCCATGCTGGCTCAGGAATTCTGGGAGTTGAAGTCCATGAGTCATAAAAGAGCCGAGGTTGCCTACCCCTGCATTAAGCCAATGTTTCTTAGGCATGCTGTCTGGGGAATTCTGGGAATTGAAGTTTGTACCTCTTAAAGTTGCAGAGGCACCCCTTCTTTCCCTGGCAGTGTCACATTTAGGCTGTTTCTTTGTCTCAGCAGAGGATGAGACCCCGAAGAAAACCAGTCGAGTCCGGCTGAAGAAAAGAAGAGGCCGATTTCAGGCATCAACCGCCTCAGAAATGGAGGCGTTGCGCGAGCATTGGCGCAGTTACAAGCGTCAGCAAAGGAAAAAGGCAGCCGAGAAACCCCAGAAAACGGAAGAGAAGGAAGAGAAAGAAAGAAGGAAGGAAGAGAAAGAAAACGTCGCCGAGAAGGAAGTGAAGGAAGAGGAAGAAAGTAGAATCGAAGAGAAAGAAAACGTCGCCGAGAAGGAAGTGAAAGAGAAAAATGTTCCAGAATTATCACTCCGGGCCCGGCTGGAAAAATTTGCTTATTCTAAAAATAGAGGAAAAGAGCCTAGCCAGGAAGTAGCAGCGTCGGCTCCGAAAGTCTCAGCAGAGGAGCGGCCGCATCATGAATGTACTGTGTGTGGGAAGAACTTCACCTACGACGGTCACCTTGCCGATCACCAGAACCTGCACACCGAAGCGAAACCTCACAGATGCCAGGAATGCCAGAAATGATTTCCTAAGAGAGAAGAGTAAGTTGGCCAGGCACCAGATCTCTCCCAACAGGGGTGAATCCACTGTGCTGAGGGTAGAAAAGGTTTCTTTCAGAAAGATTACCTCAGGGTGCGTTAGAAAAATTCAAGGTCTCCAGCCTGTCTCAAAGGTGCTTGTTTTCAGGAGGCAACTGGACTTTATCGGTTTTTTTTGGTTTTTTTTGAAGACGTTTCGCTTCAGCTCTGACTGGATGGTGGGGAATGGAAGGATTTATATTCTTTGCAGAGAGCTGGTCATTTGAGAGAGAGAGAGAAAACGAACCTTTATTGTCATTTTTTTACTGTGGAGACAATGGCACACGTTAAAAACGAAATTCTGTTGCTTGCTCTCAAAGTGTACACGTACACAAAACACACCTTTAAACGCACTATATACGACATATGTATAGACCTACACCAGTAATGGCGAACCTTTTAGAGACCGAGTGCCCAAAGTGCAACCCAAAACCCACTTATTTATCACCGGGTGCCAGGTGGACGTGGCCCACTGCATGGGCGTGGCTGTGGTCATGGCAGACTGGGTGGGTGTGGCCAAGGTGGGCGTGAGCACCTCGATGTTGCTCATGGGGTGGGATGCCTGTGGGAGCCGGGCAGGGTTCGGAGAGATCCAGGGAATCTCTGGCAGGTGGGGCAGTGGGCAGGAGGTTCGTCCTGCGGGGTGAGGTGAGGCAAGGTGAGGCAGGGCTGGGGTGCCATTGTCGCAGGGCAAGGCGAGGTACGGGCCAGGGCAGCTGCTGCCTGACACCATCGGCCCCTGTACACAGAGGCCAGCGAGCGCATTTGGGCCAACAGTGTCCGTCAGCAGTCACAGCCTGCCGGCCCCTCGACCAGAGCATACCGGGGCTCTGCAGCCCGCCACCAGAAGTTTAGAGAAGCTGCCTCTGAGCTGGATAGACGGTTGACAGCTGAGGAGGCGATGCAGTGGGTCGTGCCCGGGAAAAGAGCATGCGAGGCCAGGAGGGATGGGACAGGGGAGGGAAACCAGCCGTGCTGGGATGCATCCAGCCATGTGGGACCTTGGCGACTGGTTGAAGAGGGACGGTTGCCATTTCTGGGGCATGGCCTGTGTGCCCACAGAGAGGGCTCCGGGTGCCGCCTCTAGCACGCGTGCCATAGCTTCGCCACCACTGACCTACACCCTTACATTTAAGTGACATATAAATATTAATCACCGTCCATCTTGAATACATAACGGAAGGAGGAAGCTTTAGCATTCACAAGGTTAATACTGTATGGCACAAAACGGTGACTGAATCTGGATGTTCTGCTTCAGATACCACGGAGCCCCCTCCTCCCAGTAGGTAACAAAGAAAACAGGCCGTGAAGAGGATGTGTAGTGTCCCAGACAATATTGCGGATCCTGCTCAAGCAACGCTTCTGTGCTACGTCCTGGACGGGAGGGAGGGAACTGCCAATAATCTTTTCGGCCATCCTCACCACTCTCTGCACCGCCTTCCTGTCTGAAGCGGGGATGCTTCCAAACCAGACTGTGACGCTGTTATGAAGAGGATGCTCTGGATCGTCCCTCTGTAGAAAGTGGTAAGGACAGGGGAAGGAAGATGTGCTTTTCCTACATTTTCTGCATCGCATAAGAAAAGCACATCTTCCTTCCCCTGTCCTTACCACTTTCTACAGAGGGACGATCCAGAGCATCCTCTTCATAACAGCGTCACAGTCTGGTTTGGAAGCATCCCTGCTTCAGACAGGAAGGCGGTGCAGAGAGTGGTGAGGATGGCTGAAAGCGTTTGTATATTTATATCCTTTTAGAGAGTCATTGAGGCCACCTGGAGGCTTACCTGTAGCATCAGGGTCACCCGAGTATGGCAAATGGGTGTGGACCCTTCTTGGCTGCAGGATGTTTTCTGCCCTGAAGAAGATTCTTGGATGAGAAGCAAAATGTCTTCAAAGAAAAACAAGAAAGTCCAGTTGCCTCCTGAAAAAAGCACCTTTGGGACAACCATGGATGATGGAAAATCTCCGTAGACCAGGGGTAGGCCACCTTGGCTCTTTTATGACTCGTGGACTTCAACTCCCAGAATTCCTGAGCCAGCCATGCTGAGGGGAAAGGGAGAGGTTTCCAAGCTGAGCCACGCTGGCTCTGGAATTCTGGGAGTTGAAGTCCACGAGTCATAAAAGAGCCAAGGCGGCCTACCCCTGCCATAAGACGCTTCCAACCTGTATTTGAATGTGCTGAGTGTGGTAAAAGTTTTCCCTAAAAAGATGAATTTGTGAGTGGGGTGCGCTACAGAAGTCAGTCCTGTTTTTCTAAAAGTTTTTAATTGAAGTTTATTATCAAATACAAATAGAAACAAATACGCAGATAGTCCTTGGCTTATGGCCACAATTGAGCCCAACATTTCTACCGCTGAGCGAGATGGTTAAGAGAGCTTGCCCCACTTTACGACTTTTCTCGCCACAGTTGTTAAGCCAGTCACTGCAGTTGCTCAGTTAGTAGCACGGCTGTTAAGTGAATCTGGCTTCCCCATTGACTTTGTTTGTCAGACAGTGGCAAAAGGTGATCGCACGATCCCGGCGGGACAATGCAACCACCATAAATATGAGTCAGTTGCCAAGTGTCTGAATTTTGATCTCACCCTGCGGGCGATGGAACAGTCGAAAGTGGGAAAAACAGTCATAAGTCACTTTTTCCGGTGCCGTTGTAACTTTGAACAGTCACTAAACAAACTGTTGTAAGTCGAGGACTACCTGTAATGAGGGAGTAGGAGAAGGTAAAGAAAGAGAGAGAGGCGCACGGTAAGAGAGAAAGAAAAAAACAACTTTTTTGGGGTGTGGTAAAACACTAAATACAGCTACAACCTCAACTTTTGCTTTCCGTATTTAGTAAGTAACTGGAAAAGTTATTTTCTTTAATTAAAACAGTTTTACCTTCTCTGCCTCCTTCCATCTCTGGCTTCATGAGCCATGGTGGCGCAGTGGCTAGAATGCAGCATTGCAAGCTAGTCCTGCCAACTGTTAGCAGTTCGATCCTGACCGGCTCAAGGTTGATTCAACCTTCCGTCCTTCCGAGGTCGGTAAAATGAAGAACCAGAGGGCTGAGGGGGCCATACGCTGACTCTGTAAACCGCTTAAGAGAGGGCTGTAAAAGCGCCGTGAAGCGGTACGTAAGTCTTAAGTGCTGTGGCTATCAGTCTTTCCAAATTGCGTTTCCATTTTTTTTTACCCACATAGGATTCTTGCTGCAGTCAACATTACGATAGTTCCAATTTTTATCCAATTTTTTTTAATCTAATAAAAACTTCTGGCTTCAGTTTTATGTTTGTTTTAAGAGTCTTCCGAACGAAGGCAAAACTGGTCCCAATATTTCCCGTAGGGCCGTGGTCCCGGAAGTAAGCTAAGTTGGGGAGATCAGGAGTTGGGACATTGGTGCACCTACACAGGAAATACTTAATCTGGGCATGCAAAGGTGTGTCTGATTTTTTTTCTCTCTTTCTATCTATCTCTCTGCCTCTTCCCCTCTCTTCTCTCTTTCTCTCCCTCTCTCCTTTCTCTCTCTCTTGTCTCTCTCCCTCTTGTCTTTCTCCTTCCCTCCCTCTCTCTCCCGTCTCTCCTCTCCCTCTCCTCTCTCTCTCTCTCTGCCCCTCCCCTCTCTCCCTCCCTCTCCTCTCCCCGTCTCTCTCCCTCTCCTCTTTCTCCTCTTGCCTCTCCCTCGTCTCTCTCCCCGTCTCTCCTCTTTCTCTCTCCCTCTCTCCTGTCTCTCTCTCCTTTCTCCTCTCTCTCTCTTTCTCCTCTCTCCTCTTGCCTCTCCCTCTCGTATCCCTCCCTCCCTTTCTCTCCGTCTCTCCCTCTCCTCTGTCCTCCCTCTTTCTCCTCTCTCCCCTCTCCCTCTCGTCCCTCTTTTCTCTTTCTCCTCTCTCCTGTCTCCCTCTCCCTCTCCTCTTCTCTCTCTCTCTCGTCTCTCTCCCTCCCTCTCCCCTCTCTCCCTATCCCTCTTCTCTCTTTCCCTCTCTCCCTCTCTTCTCTTTTCCCAGTTTGAGTTACGCACGTGCTTGCACAGTGAACATCGCTCGTGAAACAAGACGGCACCTCAAGACCCCGTTGGACCTCTCCTCCGATGAACCCTCTCCCTTCGGGCAACAGAGAAGGCCAACTTGGTGGACCTGCCTGCGAGCATGATTGGATCTGCAGCGACGAGCAGCCTCTGAACAAGAAGTTGACGCCGCTTGACCTCTGCAGATCAAACGCCCAGCAACAGTAAACTGTCTTGTTTTCGGGCAAGCTGCTGACTCTACCGTCTTCTTAACAATTGTCTTCTCCCCCCCCCCCCTGGTCTTGGGTGTTGACGTCCTTTTGAGCATTTGGGAACTTCAGAAACGTTCTCCGGAGACTGGAGAACATTGTAGTGTAGGAAGGGGGTCGGTCTGTTCTCTGCCATCAGCCGATGGGATAACAATATTTCAGATAAATGCATCTGTTTTTGCAAGGTTTTCATCCCCTTCTGCGTTGCATAACCCTTCTAGGTCTCTACTCCTCGGTGGGAAGAGAATTCACGTCGTCCCACCGCAAGTCCGTTTCTCCGCCTCACAGCAGAATTCAAAACTCACTTTGACTTCATAGACGCTTCAAGAAAAGGCTTGGAATGGGCCGTGAATTACAATAATTGTTTAGTATTTAAAAAGGTGAACAGCTTTTTTTTTTTTAAAAGAAATTTAATTTTGTGTCATAATAGACTTTTCATGTTTTGTGTCTTAGGTTCCCCGTTAAGCGATGCCACACGATTCCATGTCAAGTGTGGATGGGACAGCTATCTAAAATATACAGCGTTAAAAAGTTTAACTTTTTTCCCCCCCACACTTAATCAAAAGTAAGGGAAAGGGCGAAAAGTTCAAGAAAGTAAGAAACGGGGAGTGATGGAGTTGTATTATTAATATGCCCACCCAAGGAATGGTAAAAGGGACACTATAATTGTTGAGCATAAATCTCGGCCTAAACCCGGTCTTCAGA